CACGCTTAAGGACGCGAGAACCTTGTGCCAAAAAGGAATCGTTCTCCATCCGTGCAGGCGTTGGGCAAGTTGAAAGTATCTTCGGCGGACCTCATTCTAAAAAGGAGCCGCCCTCCGTCTGGGTAGCTGTTACATTGGTTTGGAAGGACTGTGCGTGGCACTAATGCGAAAGCAAACCATTCGCCCTTCATCCGTGTAGCTGTAATCGTGTTTTCAAACGAACGCGCGCGGCGCGGACGCAAGAACACCATTTCAAAATCCATCCGCCGTCCATCCGTGCATACGACGGAAAGTATTAAGACAAGTGTGCGCGGTGCCTGGGCGAAAGCTCTATTTTGAAGCGATTTCCCTCAAACCGCACAGCTGTTGGGAACTTCGCGCTTCAATATCGCAAACGGAAAGGAAGTCTCAGGCGGAACGCCTGGCCCGCCCTATCGACACGTCCGGTGGTGCGACAGAGATGGGTTCAAATAGTCTGGCGAAGGACCCAACCATATGCTGTTGTGAATACCGCAATTGTGCTGGGTGGTGGCGGACGCATGCGGGCGGTGCCACTGGGACCTCCGGTGGAGCCCCTAATGGGGCCACGAAGCGCTGCACTGGGCTGGTGAAGCGCAGGGAGCAAGGGCTGTGCTCGGTGGTGGCAGACGCATGCGGGCGGTGCCACTGGGACCTTCGGTGGAACCCCATTATGGGGCCACGATACGTTGTACTGGGTGGGTGAAACGCAAGGAGCAAAAGCTGTGCTGGGTGATGGCGGACGCATGCGGGCGGTGCCACTGGGACCTTCGGTGGAACCCCCTGTGGGCCAACAAGGCGCTGTAATGGGTGGGTGAAACGCAGGGAACAAATGCTGTGCTGGGTGGTGGCGCACGCATGCTGGCGGTGCCCCTTGGACCTTCGGCGGAACCCCCTTTATGGGGCCACCAAACGCTGTACTGGGCGGGTGAAACGCAGGGAGCAAGGGCTGTGTTGGGTGGTGGCGGACGCATGCGGGCTGTGCCACTGGGACCTTCGATGGAGCCCCCATACGGGGCCACGCAGCGTTGTACTGGGTGGGAGGAACACAGGGAGCACGGGCTGTGCTGGGTGGTGGCGGACGCATGCGGGCGGTGCCACTGGGACCTTCGGTGGAGCCCCTTGCGGGGCCACGAAGTGCTGTATTGGGTGGGTGAAACGCAAGGAGCAAGGGCTGTGCTGGGTGGTGGCGGACGCATGCGGGCGGTGCCACTGGGACCTTCGGTGAAGCCCCCTATGAGGCCACGAAGCGCTGCACAAATTGGGTGAATCGCAGGAAGGAGGGAGGAGAGGGAGGAGGGAGGGGGAGGAGGAGGGGAAGAGGAGAGGAACGCGGGGACCGTCTTCTCAAAACGTGGACCCAACGCCACAGGATGGTTGGGAACAAGAAAAATGATGGAGGAGGAAAGTTGAAGAGGTGGGAAGAGGGGGAGGAGGAGGCGGAGGAGGAGGAGGAGAAGGAGGAGGAGGAAAAGGAGGAAGAGGAGACACAGAAGGAGGAGCGGCGCTGTGGGAATTGTGCGGCTCCGTGGGTTCCTGGACGGAAATCGCCGTCCACGCTATGCTGCGCGCGCACGGGCGGACATTCGACTCAGACACGCCTTGACTACGAGGGTCAGCTGTCTCCTTGTTCGCACATCCTAAAAACTACTTGCATAGCTTTAGTTGGCTGTCCAATGCACCAAGCATGTAAAGGGGTCGCGGGGGAAGGGCACGTCAGTGTCAAGACTGGACCCGTTGGCTACGCCGTCCACAAGGCAATGCCTGCTCAGTAAAGCCAGGGAGGGGCCCACAAAAGGTCTCGCCCCGCCCCCTCCCCCCCACTTTCACCCCGCCACGGGGGGCCGCATGTCTTGTTCCCAACCATTGTGTTGTTCCCAACCATCCTGCCGTTTTGAAGAAACGGTCCCCTCGTCTCCTTCGCCTCCTCACGTGCCCTCCTCCCCCTCCTCCTTCCTCCATGCGTTTCACCCGCCCAGCGCAGCACGCCGTGGCCCCATCGGGAGCTCCACCGAAGGCCCCGGAAGGGGGGGGGGGGGGGGCACGCGCGACACCCAACGCAGCGCTTCGTGGCCCCATAGGGAGCTCCACCGAAGGCCCCAAGGGGTGGGTTCCACATGCGTCTGCCGCGCCCAATTTAACGCTTCGTGGCCCCATAGGGAGCTCCACGTAAAGGCCCCACGGGCGGGAACCGCATGCGTCGGCCACGCCCGGCGCGGCATTTCGTGGCCCCATAAGGGGCTCCGCCGACGGCCCCAGTGGGAATGGCCACATGCGTCTGCCACACCCACTACAGCGTTTCGTTGGGGTACCACGCGCGTCTGCCACACCCAGCACATCGCTTCGTGGCCCCATAGGGAGCTCCACGTAAGGCCCCAGTGGGGGTGGCCACGCGCGTCTGCCATGCCCAGTACATCGCTTCCCGCCCGTTCACGACCGCCGCCGCCGCCTCTCTCCCCTGCCTTCCCGCCCCCCCCCCTCCCCGCGCGCGCGACGATCGAAGGCGGCAGAGGCGCCGCAATGGGATCAGGGGCGACGATGGGGGAAAAAGAGGGATTAGAGCGAAGGCAGGTAACCGCCGCGAGAGAAGGGGGGGGCGGTTTGCCGCCGAGGGGGGAGGGGAGGAGGAAAGGCGTTTTGCCGCCGAGGGAGGAGGAAGGCGGTTTGCCGCCGAAGGAGGATGGGGCGAGGAGTATGAAGCGGTTTGCCGCCAGGAAGGATGGAAGGCGCTTCGCCGCCGAGGGAGGGCGGAGGCGGCTTGCCGCCGAAGGAGGGAGTAGGCGGTTTGCCGCCGAAGGAGGGAGTAGGCGGCTTGCCGCCGAAGGGGGGAAAGCGGTTTGCCGCCAGGATCGGAAGGGGACGGGATTCGCCGCCGAAGGAGGGAATAGGCGGTTTGCCGCCGAATGGGAGAGGGGGGAGCAGGGAGCAGACCAAAACGAGTGGATAGGTTCCTCCTTCCTCCCCCCCTCTCCCCGCGGGCGCCTTTTAAGGGCGAAGCCGCAGCGCCGCCGCCAGGTCCACCAGGATGGACCTGCGAGGCCTATGTCCTGGAGTCTGCAAAAGTGCCAACAGTTTGTTTGAACATAAAATGAAAACATGATCACATACAAAACCAAACAAAACAGCTTGTCACAACAAAAATAGACACATGTGTCAAAACGGGCCCTAGCGACTTAGCAGAGATATCTAACGTACCAAGTTGCTTCCATCTATATGATATATGTAAGCTGGTGCACATGCGCGCATGGCATCTACGATCAACACATGTGTCTCGAATGTATTAAGTAAAGACATGTGAGATGAATTTTGTTATCGCACTTGCAGCTGCCTGACGGTCCAAGCAAGAACCCGGGAACCCGGAACCGGGAACCCAGGAACCCAGCCGGCCACCAACATCGGCGAGACACTTTCGCCAAAACTAATGATTTCCGCTAGGACCCCTTCAGTGCAAGCACTGATTGGGGAAATACCAAACAAATATTCAAAAAAACAAATAGTATTACACAAATCCTCCCCGTACTATTTTTGGACTATCTTTAAATATTCCATATTCCTCCTGCAGAGGGGCACGCCCGATTTAAGTGTGGGTGGGTGCCGTCTCCCTCTGGTTTCACGTCTCGGCTCTCCCCGCCGTGCACGTCTGAGCATGCGCCCGTATTTTCTGACAATGGATGCTGTTCGGCTGACCTAGACCACGCTGCCCTAGACAGGCACCCTGGAGGCCGCCAGCCTGGGTGCCCGGCGCAGACAAGGCCGCACGCGTTCCGCATGGGGGCCGGCTGCCCGTGCGCAAGCACGCTCGATCGTCGAGGGCGCGGTCGGTCACTCCCCGCCCCTCCGCCAGCCTCCCCCTCCTCTGCCCGCCCCTCCCTCCTGTCCCCGCCTCTTCCCCCGAGTCCGCGGTCCTCGGCATCCTCCTGGGCCAAACAGGGTGCAAGAAGCCCGTGTGGAAGGCAATGGAGAATCGACGCATATCTGCCACACAAAAGCTGCGACTGCAACCTCGATTCTTTTCCGCGGCGGCTGGAACAGACGCCCCTGTGGCCGTCGCGTCAGCATGGCAGCCGATGTGTCGTAGAGACCTTGCGTTTCAGTTCAGTTCATCCCCGCCGAGAGGGAGAACGCTGGGAGAGCTACCTTGCCCTATCCCGATACAAAAGGGGCTGGGATGGCCCTGACGATACTGAATTTCGAAGGAGGGGGTTCCTGTGCGAGGGGCCGGTGTACCTCGGCTATGGCTTCCTTGGTCAGCTCAGGTGTAGCCTCCGCTTTCACGCCTCCCAGGCGGATCCCGAGGCCACCAGCAGCGCACGCGAAACGCTGCATGTTTTGAGAGCGTCTTGCCCCGCATCCTCCCTCCACGGCCGCATGCCTTCTTTTCCCGTGGCGCAGGTGAACGACCACATGCTCCGCAGGCTGCGACCAAACGTGAAAGGAACCGACGGCTCGCGGGATCCTCGCGCTCTCTGCCAGGGCCCTGCGGCGCGGCTGTCGGCACGTTCGGGCGGGCACACCAGGAGTGGGAGTGAAAACGATGGGGACGATACCCATCAGCTAATGCTGTCCAAAGCCGACAGCGGTCGCCGTTGGGCAGGCGACGTCTGTCCCCAGTGGACAACGTGCGCAGCGACACCCGCAGGGAGCCCGGTGCAAAATCAGCAAGAACTGCTGCTGGCCGTCGTCCTGATCCTTCCCGTCCCCTGTTTTGAACTGTACCGAGTTGAAGTCGCAGGGCCAGGTTTCCCGGCGCTCGCCCAACCCCCCCCCTGGAACAGCAACAGCTCGAGATCGGGAGGCTTCGTTTTGACAACGGGGTACATACATATAGTTATCATACATATACATGCGCACGAATATGCATTTAAATACATAAATGCATATACGTGGGACTCTGCGTTCAGGGATGAGTCTTGTGTCATTTAGGATGTTCCCTCGTTGTCTGAGACCGGACGGGCATGATCAAATACGCTTGAACGGTCTGCCGTCTCTCCGGCGGGGCGGGCCATGCGGATTTCGTCACGAGGTTGTTGTACCCGCACTTCTCGCACATGAAATCCTGCGCGACGAGGAGTGGGGCGGTCGGGAGCGAGAGGTTGGGGAGGGCAGCGAGGAGGAGCATGGAGAGGAGGGGGCAAAGGAGCGTGCATGGGGAGGTGAAGCTGGGGAAAGAGATGAAGGCGGTGGAAGGGATGGGGGAGGGAGAAAGGCCAACACGAACTCGACCTCGAAGCAATGTCATACTGCCCCGACTGCCCAGGTGGGGTGCACGCTGGACGGTGTGTGCCTCTCGCTGGCGCTCGCCGCGCCACTCGCCACCGTGGCTGTGCACGAGGGGTGCTGGCTCGGCCAGCCGAGGGGCCCGCGGGCAAGGAGAGCCCTGCACCACTCAAGCAGGAGCGGAGGGGCGAAGAGTACGTTCCGGGCCGCTCCTCGCCTGTAGCCCCGGGAGGGGCGTCAAGACTGCGCTGGGTCCTCGAGCTGCTGCACGAGCTGCGCTCTGACTGCGTTCGGGCCTCTGCGTTGAGCGTACAAATAACCAACCGTCGCCACTTTCCGGATCGCCAAATCTCGGGGGCGGGCAAACATGGATTAGCGATCCATGGATTTGGCGCGCGATCGCCAAATCCATGGATCGGGGGAGGTGCCCTCCCCGGAATGCGGCCGGTGCCGCCTCGCTCGGCGGCGGGAATATGTGATTTTTCATGGAAGCGGGACCCGTCGCTAATCCACGCCCCCTTGACCCATGTTTGCGATCGCCCGAAAATCATGCGTGCCCCGCTCCTCCATCCCCGCCTCCCCCTGGCGCCGTCGCGTGGGAGGCGGCCGCTGGCCCCTGGGCGTGGGCGGCGCCCCTGGCAACCTCTGCATTCGTCTGCTCCCCTCCGGTTTCTTTCCTCTTGGATGGGGGGGGCCAGCTGAGGCATCGGCGGCCCCCCATCCTCCCTTCTCCTCCTGCCTCTTCCTCCCCCTCCTCCCTCCTCCTGCTTATTCTTCATCCTTCTCGTGTTTTCTTTCCTCGTTCGGGTCGTCCGCTGTCTCGAACGGCCCCTCTTTGACTCCCTGAGGGTCAGCGATAGTGGGGGACTGCCGTAGGGGGGGTGCACATCGACCCGGAATCGGCGGTACATCGCCGACAGATCGGCGATGGGCCCCCGATAGTGAACCCACATTCTCCTGGGCGGAACCGACGTCCTTGCCACCCCAGCGAGCGGTGAAAATGGAACGGTCTGGGTCCCAGGGGGCCCGAAGATATCCATATCCACCGCCTGCCGAGGTCCGCGAAGATCGATCCACCAGGCAGAGGTTATGGATAAATCCCCGCCTCGGACTCTTTGACCCCCTCTATCTAGCTCTCCCGCTCGCGCTCCCCCCGCCAAGAGCGAGCGTCGTCGTCTTCGGAGGCTGCCCCGGACGCACCTCCGCCAGTACCCGAGGCCGCCCCACCGCGAAGCGGCCAGGTGCAGGGAGCTTCCGGACGAGTCAGGCAGAGGCGCGAATGGTAAGGCTCTAGGCCTGAGGGGCAACGACAGGGGGGGGACTGGCACAGGAGGGGACACATCGACTTGGACTCTATCGCCGATAGATCGGCGATGGGCCCCCGAGAGCAAGCCCCCATGCTCCTCGACGGGGTGCCGCAATCGGCCCCCCTACCGGCGATGAGTAGACGACTGGGGGTCGATTCAAACCCCCATGCCTCTCCCCTTTCGAGGGGCAACGATAAGGGGGGATAGGGATAGGGGGGAAAAACATCGACCTGTCATCGGCGAGACATCGCCGATAGACCAGCGATAGGCCTCCGATAGTGAATCCGAACCTTCCTGGGCAGGTTGAGGCTATCGGGCCCCTATCGGCGATCAATGAGCGATTGGGGGTCGGTGTATCCCCCCCAATGCCTATCCCCCCCTATCGTTGCCCCTGACCTCGATCGTCGCCCCCAGAAGCAGCGTCGTCTTCGGAGGCTGGCCCCGAAGCACCTCCGCCGGTACCCGAGCCGCCTCACCGCGAGGCGGCCAGGTGGACGAGTCAGTAGAGGCATCCTAGATGGGTCCGAATAGATGGAGTCGGAGGATCGCCAATGCATCGCCAATGTATCGGCAATGCATCGGCGACGCCGGCAATGCATCGCCGCCGTCAGCGTGGCGAACATCGGGCTCCAAATCACGCCGCATCGCCAATGCATCGGCGATGCGGCGCGATCATCCGACCCCATCTGCTCCGACCCCGTCTGGGAAGCCTAGAGTCAGGCATGGCTACGTACCAGTAGTCCCGGCTGGCCTTAGCAGGCCCCCCAGGTAGTCCACGGCACAGGTCGGTGCTCGTTGCGGTCGTGGATTGCCCTGCGAGGTGCGCTGCATTGCGCATTGTACGTAGTAGGTCCGGATTGGCACTGTCGGACGGGGCTAAGACGAGAATAAATCCGTTCCAGAGCGCCCTGGAACGCTTGCAGAGCGTTCGGGAACGCTCTGAGAAGGCCGCGGCGCCCGAGACATCCTCCACAGCCGCTGGATCTCAGAGATTCCCGATCTATCCTCACCCGATGTAATCCCCCACGCCAGGGAGTGGAGTCCGGCGCGGCCTCCACGCCCTGGCGCCGCCCTTGGGCGGCCCCGGGGGACTGCTGAGGCCAGCGGGGGGGCGGCCCCGCAGCGCAACGGCAGTGTAAGACGAAGCCAGGACGAGGACTACATCGGGTGAGGATAGGTCGAGAATCTCTGAGATCCAGCGGCTGTGGAGGATGCCTCGGGCGCCGCGGCCTTCCCAGAGCGTTCCCGAACGCTCTGCAAGCGTTCCAGGGCGCTCTGGAACGGATTCTTAACTCGTCCTAGCCCCGTCCGGCAATGCCAATCCGCACCGACTACGTAAAATGCGCAATGCAGCGCACTGGAGCGAAGAGACAACCCGCAGGACAATCCACGACCGCATTGTGCACCGACTTGCCTTCAGATCTGACGTTGCAAAAAACTGGGAACATCGAAGGAAGTCATCACCGGATCCCCCGGACCCCTTCTTTCTGCGTCATTTCTCGAACCTGATCCATCTGTGAAGGCCCTAGGCCCGAAACCAGGCGAAAACGCCCGTGGTGAAGAAAACTGCGGCGCGAAGATCTCGTGGTGGGGGGCTTTCTGCGCGCAGCCCGAGGCCTCATCAGACGAGTCCAGCAAGGGAGCGGCGAGACGACCATGACGCCCAGATGCCTCGCCACTATCTCTGGTGTGTGGGTGGGGGTTCGGGTCTGCCGATGGCTGGTCGACCCAATACGGAACCCACATGCTCAGAGCGGCCCCCCGCGAGCGAGCCCGCCCGTTCGGTGACTATCTCCGCCTCGAGTTGTGCGCGAGGCCGCGACCGCTTGAAGGTGTAAGTGTGTGTGTGTGTGGGTGTGCGGGTGTCTGTGCGTGCGTGTGGGTGTGTATGTGTGTGCGTGTGTGCGAGCGTGTGTGCGAGCGTGCGTGTGTTTCGTGCGTGCGCGCGCGCGTGCGATTGTGTGTGTGTGTTTGTGTGCGTGTGTGTATGTATGTGTGTGCGTGTGCGTGTGTGCGTGCGTGTGCGTGTATTTGTGTGTGTGTGCGTGTATTGTGTGTATGTGCGTGTGTGTGTGTTTGTCTGTGTGTGCGTGTGTGCGCGCGTGTGCGTATTCGTGCGTGTGTGTGTGTGTGTGTGCTTGTCTCTGTGTGTGTGCGCGTGCGTGCGTGCGTGCGTGCGTGCGTGCGTGCGTGCGTGCGTGCGCGCGCGCGTGTGTGTGTGTGTGTGTGCGTGCGTGCGTGCGTGCGTGCGTGCGTGCGTTCGTGCGAGCGTGTGTGCGTGCGTGCGTGCGTGCGTTTCGTGCGTGCGCGCGTGTGTGTGTGTGTGTGTGTGTGTGTGTGTGTGTGTGTGTGTGTGCGTGTGGGTGTATGTGTGTGTGTGTGTGTGCGTGCGTGTGTGTGTGCGCGTGCGTGTGCGTGTACTTGTGTGTGTGTGCGCGTGCGTGCGTGCGTACGAGCGTGTGTGCGTGCGTGCGTGTGTTTCGTGCGTGCGTGCGTCTGTGTAATTGCGTGTGTATATGTATGTATGTGTGCGTGTGTGCGTGTGTGTGCGTGTGTGTGCGTGTGTGTGTGTGTGTGTGTGTGCGTGCGTGTGCGTATATTCGTGTGTGTGTGTGATTTTGCCTCTGTGTGCGTGCGTGCGTGCGTGAGAGCGTGTGTGCGTGCGTGCGTGTGTTTCGTGCGTTCGCTCGTGCGTGTGTGCGGGTGTGTGTGTGTGTATGTGTGTGCTTATGTTTGTCTCTGTGTGCATGTGTGCGTCTGTTTGTGCGTGCGTGTGCGTGTATGTGTGTGTGTGTGTTGTCTCTGTGTGTGAGTGCGTTCGTGTGTGTATTTGTGTCCGAGTGCGTGCGTGTGTGCATGCGAGCGTGTGTGCGTGCGTGCGTCTGTTTTGTGCGTGCGCGCGTGCGTGTGTGTGTGTGTGTGTGTTTGTGAGTGTGCGTGTGTGTATGTCTGTGTGTGTGCGTGTGTTTGTGTGTGTGTGTGTGTCACGCCTGTGCTTTGGCTCGCCTGGGCTCGGCACTTGCCCTCTTGGCCTCGGCACCCGCTGTGGCTGGGTGTCGGTTGCTTCGTGCCTCCTCGCCTCGCCGCTGGCCGGGCACGCCGTTGCGTCGGCTGCCCGCCTGCGCCCCGGGCCCGCCGCTCCCCCACGTGGCGTGGCTCTGCTCCTTCTCTCCCCGGCCTGCCGCGCCGTTGCGCATCGCCGGGCTGTCTCTCTCATCCGCGCCTGCGCCTCGTTGGTCCTCCTGGCCTCGGCGCTCCCCACCGTTGCCGACGTTCGGGGTGCTCTCCCCTCGGCGACGGGTCGAGACTCTACTTTTCCTTCCTGCTCCCCCTGCCGCCGCCCTTCCGCGGGCTGCCCGCTCCCGCTTCTGCTCTGTGCCGCTCAGTGCTGCGCGGTGCCGTCGCTTGCCGTCCCATCCACCCCTCCCTGCCCGCGCCTCGCAAGCCCGCAGGTCTCGGCGCTTCGGTTCATCCTCGGACCGTGCATTGGTTCAATGGACTGGGCTCTGCCACATTTGTGCTTGTCCTTCCTATGCTGCAGCTCAGTGCTGCTCCCCCCAGTGCCGGCGCTGGTTGCCATTTGCGGCGCTCCACCCCGCCGCCGTCGGCTGCTCCCTTCGGGCCTCTCCGCCTTCCACCTCCCCGCACGCGCCTCGTAGGCCCGCAGGTCTAGGCGCACTGGCCCATCCCTGGACTGTGCTCGATTCACTTGGTCGGGCTCTGCCCTGTTGTGTTTTCCACCACCAGCTGCAGCTCCATGCTGCCTCCCCCAGCTTCAGCTCAGTGCAGGTCAGTGCAGCTCTGTTCCGGCGCTACTCCCCCCCTCGGCGCTCCCCCCGCCGCAGCCGACAGCTCTGAATGGCCCGGCTTCCTCTCCTCTTGTCGCGCCGGGGCTTCTCTTTTTCCTTCCGTGCATTGCGGCCTGAATTTGCATACATGTCCCCTGTTGCTACTCCGCCGGAGCAGTCGCCCTCTGCCCAGCCGCCGACGCAAACAGTGTGTGTGTGTGTATGTGTATGTGTATGTGTATGTGTATGTGTATGTGTATGTGTATGTGTATGTGTATGTGTATGTGTATGTGTATGTGTATGTGTATGTGTATGTGTGTGTCTGTGTCTGTGTCTGTGTTTCTGTGTGTGCGCGTGCTGGCCGCCACCAGGCTGCAATAGTCCACGGGGGCAGCGCGGCGCCCTCACGCCGTCGTGCTGCCATCGTGGCGCCCTCCCCCTCCTCCCCGGGCAAGGCCAAAGGGGGGCCACTACTGCAGCATGCACATGCGATCAGAAGTCTCGCTAGCAGAAATCTTGGGGCGCATTCTCCGTCGATCTCTCGGGGTCCCGAGGCGCCCCAGGGCTTCGGTGGGTCCCTGGCGCCATCGGGGGATAAGAGACTCCCGTGGGCCACCTGCTGGCAGGCCGCTTTCTGGCTCGGTGTACCTAAAAGCCTTGGAAGGGGGACCGCCCCCCCCCCCTCAGGAAACGGGCCACCTTGGACTCCCCGGAACCCCGGCGGGACCCCAAAGGCTTTCAAAACCGTCCCAAGCCTCCCCGATCCCCGATGCCTCTCCTCCTCGTCCTCCTCCTCCTCCTTGATCCCCGACTCCCAAGATTGGGCGGTGACGCCCCCCTACTGCTCACCCCCTTCGTTGTCGAGCTGCGCGCGGAAGAAGCCTCCCGGGGACGCCCGCGGCCTGCAGCCGAAGCACCTCCAGGCTCTCGTCCTTCTTGCCGCCGGGGGCCTGGGCGACCTGCGGCCCGCCACGCAGACTGGCGGGACCGCACCCCCTCAAGGTCCTTTTCTCCCTCTCTCCCACTCCATCTGTCCCACCCTCCCTTGCTCTACCTCTTCCCCCCTCTCTCTCTGTCTCTGTCTGACTGTCTGTCTCTGTCTCCGTCTCTGTTTCTGTGTCTGTCTGTGTCTGCCTGCCTGCCTGTCGATCTGTCTCACTGTCTGTATGTCTGTCTGTCTGTCTGTCTGTCTGTCTGTCTGTTTCCCCCTCTCTCTCTCTGTTTGTCGGTATGTCTCTGTTTGTTCTCTCTCTCTCTCTCTCTCTCCCTCTCGCTCTCTCGCTCTCTCTCTTTCCCTCCGTCTCTCTTCTATACATCTATATATATACACACAAAAAATGGGTATATCTTTCTCTCTCGCTCTCTCTCTCTCTCTCTTGTTTCTTTCTCTCTCTCTCTCTCGCTGTCCCTCCCTCCCACTCTCCCTCTCTGTCTTTCTATCCATCCCACTTTCCCCCTCCCTCCGCCTCCCCCTCCACTCTCCCCCCCCTGCGTGCTGCCGCCTCTGCCCGAGGCTGGTTGGGGCCACACCGATCTGCGCGGTCGCCGTCCGACGTGTAGGGCGGGCGTGTCAGTAGGCAGCTTGGGGGAAGGAGGAGGAGGAGGAAGAAGAAGAAGAAGAAGAGGAGGAGGAGCAGCAGGATGAGGAGGAGGATAGGAGAAGGAGGACAGAAGGAGGATGAGGACAGGAGGAAGAGGAGGACAGGAGGAGGATGAGGAGGAGGACAGGAGAACAGGAGGAGGAGGAGGAAGAGCAGGAGGAGGAGGAGGAGGAGGAGGAGGAGGACAGGAGGAGGAGGAGGAAGAAAAGGAGAAGCAACACGGCCCGGATGGGCAGGGAACGGGAGAGGACGAGGAGGACAAAGGGCTGGGGGAGGAGGAGGACGAGGAGGAGGAGGAGAAGGAGGAAGAGAAATATTGGCATGTCTCGGAATACGGTTGAGACGTCAACCCCCTGAACATCGGCCACGGATGCGAGGGAGTCGTTCGTCTTCAAAGCTGCAAATGGGTTGTTGCAGTCGTTTTTGTACTGGGTAGGGGTCAGTGTGAAGAGCACATGTGCGCGGTCACTGGCGCATGGAAACAGAGTGGAACTCCCATGGAACTGCGTGCTGGCGAGAGGCGGCAATTGGTGTGGAGGCGCGCGCAGGGGGACGGGCAAAGGGAAGAAGCGAGGTAAGATGACGGCGGTCGTGGCGGATGGCGAGCTTCGGACCAGTTCGAAAAAACGCGGAGAGGGATTGGGCAGCACGCGCGCTCTGGCGACGATGATTCTATGCTCGGCCAAGACTCTGCTACCTCGGCTGTATCCTTGCATGCTCAGCGAGTGCGAGAAAAAACACACTATCATAGTGAAGAGGTGCCTGGCCCCCAGTCGACGCGGTGGCACTGATGCTGAGAAGACAATGCAAGACAACGCCATCTACCAGCCAACCCCAACGAACCAACCACTATCGAGTCGCAGAGCATATAATGCGCAAGCCGCATTCCCCTCATGCGACGATTCGATATTTTGAAGTTTGAAATCGCGGGGATGAAGACGCTGGCGTTGGTGCGGCGGGTAAGTGGCCAACACATTCTATCAGGGGCTGAATGTACTATCGGTGCGGCGCTTGCTATCCCAGGGGGCGTGGTAGCTCGAAACATAGGCGAACGCGGGAACAGGCGCCGAGACGTGGCGCTGCATCCCACACTCGTCGAAGAACATCACGTTCGACATGAACCAACGTATGTTGGTTCATGTCGAACGTGATGCTCTTGGACGGATGTGAACGTAAACTAGATCAAGGCTCTCTTGAGCCCTCCACACGCGAAAATCAATGTGGAAAACAATAATGCACCAGTGGCTCGGTAAAGGCTTCGGCGCTGACAGAAACTCCAAGGCAACTGATAGTGAAATACCGCAAGGAGCCATCTCTCTGATGCCCGTGGGTCGTCTAGAAGCGCAACATGATATTATGCCGGGAGGCTCCCGAAGACAGAGAGCCCTCCGCATACGAACTCTATGTCGATCAGTCGTGCCCTGCAGCAATAACTTGAGCACTCTCACACCAAATACAAACGAACCGAGGGGAAGAGACTGCGCTTGCCTCCGCAATCCTCTGCATGGCCCGAACATGGCAATAAGACGTCAGACTCCTGCATCGGAAAACGGGCCTCATGCAGAGGGCCGCATACGCACTCAGACAAGCGAAGCGGGCTGCCACATTGCGAACTCGACCAGCCTCTGACTGAACTCCTGTCACGAAGAGAGGGAAGGATGGATGGCTCGCAAAGCGAATCACACACCCCTTGTCGAAAGACCTTGGGACGATGCTGCAACGGCCAGACTGGGAACCTTCGTTCCTCCAGTCTTGAAGGAGGAGGAAGAGGAAGGCGCGGCGTGAAGGCACAGGGGAACTGCCTGCCTGCCTGGCAACCGCCAAGACTGCACAGACCATAGCGCTCAGGGGAGGGCCGGCTCACGAGTGAAGCTCTTGCACATCATGACCTCGTCCAAGCAAGTGCGATACCGTGGCAACTTCCGGCTTCTCCTCGTGGATCCTGGCCGCGATCTGTGGAGTTCGGTGGACTCGGTGCCCTCTGAAGGGCTCCGCTGCCTCCTCTGTGCTCGAAGGCCTCACAAGCGCACAAATCAACTTCACGTCCAGGTAGTGGAGATGATTCGACTCCACTCCTTTGTGCTCGTCGACCCGGGACGCCTGCCAATGGTGCCATGTTCTGGCTAGAAGAGATGCCCGGGCACGCGCGGCTTTCTACGAGCGCCGAAGGAGCTGATTTAGTCGCCTTCCCTTCACACCAGTTCGCAACGGTCCGACGTCAGATCGGTTGCACGCAAATTGCCAAAGGCATGGGCTCCCGGCTGCGCTTCTCGCTGGCGAGGGTGGCAGTGTGAGCGACGAAATGAAAGGGATCTTACGCTAGGTGGCGTCGCGACCTTACGGGTGGCTTACGCGGGCCGCCAGCACGGCAGGCCACACTGGAGACGAGGGCGCTTACGCGCGACCTTGCGCGGGCAGCTTACGCGCAAATGTCGGTGAAGACGACTTCTTCTTTGCAACACTCAAGTGGCACCATCGCTAATCAGGGGACGCGGGTAGCGCCAGACCGTAGATGGTATTGCCAGCCGCGTGAGGCAATACAGCCCAACGTTGCTAAATCAGGGTAGACATGAGCTGCCGATCCCAGCCGACTCGTGGTCGCAGCTGTCGCCTCCGCGCGGTCGCTGCGACCGAAACCTCGGCGAGGGGTCTGCAGCCGAACGTGCGACCTACCTGGGCTGCCTGGTGCCGACCGGGCCGTGCTTCCTCCGAGCCTCGAGACCATCCAGCTCTAGCTGCGGATTCTCGAACTGCCCCGTGCGGGTACCCACCTCGCAGCCTCGGTGACGACTGCTCTGAGCTCGGTCAAAGGGCGAGCCATCGGGCCCGAGACTGTTTCCAGCGGCACGCCGCGCCTTTGAGCATGTGAGCGCAAGGGGAGGGTTGCCCGGCCGAGAAAATATCAAGACGGAGTTACCGTGACGCCAGACGAGCCTGGGAAATGCCTCGACTGTGACCTGCTCGCCTGAGCCGCGAGAAAGCAACCGAAGCCCTTGCAATCCAAGTAATCGAGCCTTCACCCGTGTGGGTTCGACCAGAACTGGCATCAGGAACGACGGGTCGAGTTCTTGTAAAGCAGAGCAGCAGCGAATGTCTCGCTGGTCCGGCCACAACCCCCAGTCCCGTCTCTGCCTGGCAGAGGCATTGCTGAAGGAGGCCTCCGCCGTGAATTGTGCATAGTTTGCGCACCTCCAGACGTGAGCAGCGGACCATCCATGGTGCGATTATGTACTGTGAGCTTGGTCAACCTGTGTTCGAAACACCCCTCCATCGGTCTGCAAACATCCGTCCTGCTTGCTACCGTGGTTTGGACTGCGGGAGTCAAGGAGTAGCGCCACTTGCGCGCCTGCAGACAACAACGTCGCATTGAATCCGGGCGCGCACCACTGCCGCATACGAAATGGGCGGTGCTGCACACGTGGGCGCAATTTGGGTGACAACGCGAAACCCAGGACATGCGCTTGCACGCTGCCGTGGTGGTATCCAGTCTCTTGCAGGGCGGCCGACTGTTCTTCAAGGCATCTCAACCATCGAGTCCACTAGTTAACTAGAGAACCCAAACAGCAAAAACAACAGCGGGCCACAGGGACGCTTTACTAGCACACCGAAAGGAGCGGCCAAGGGCCCAATGGATTCATGACGGGGTGATCTACGCCTCAAAATGCCCACGTCCATCAGTAGCAATTCCCCCCCTGCCCTCCCCCTTCCCGGCCGGGCCGCTCCAGAAACCCTGAATCCAAAAGTGTGGACATCCCTCGGGTGGGCATCTTCTATCTGCGCCAACTTCCGCTGGCCTTCCGCCGGCCTCCGCTGGGTAAGCCGCCTTCATTTTACTCCCGCCGCCGTCTGCCAGCCGCCCGCCGAGGAAAAGAAGGCAACTTCTCGACCCCTCGCAGGCGATGCCCTTCCTGGAACTGGCAGGCTGAACTCCGGATGCGCCTGCCGCAGTGCGGAGCTCCTCCCTCAGCCGATGGCCGAGCACGTGCGCGGGGGACCCACAGCGAGGCCTGCAGACCCTCAGGTTCCTCCCGCAAGCAGGGACTTTGTGGTGAACCACGACGTTGGTACGCTCGAGAGAACTGCAGCTGACGAGAACGGCGCCCATGCACCGTGCCATGTCCGGGTTCCCTTCTGGCCCCGCTCCAACGCAGTACGGTGCATCGTTGTTCCGGCTCCGAGGGCCGAAGAACTATGCCCCACACCATTCCTAGGGGGCGAGAATGGACGACGCCTCGGGAAACGCCAACGCTATGCGGTGCACCCAAATCGTCCGCGGAACACCCCGCACCCCTTCGACGGGTCTCCGCTGGAGCGGCCGAGTGCACGCTGCTCGCCCCGAGGTATGGAAGGAGGTTGAGGAGGAGGAGGAGGAGGAGGAGGAGGAGGAGGCGTGAGGTAGGAGGATTGTTGACAGTACCATGGGAGCTAAGGGAGGAGGGAGGAGGAGGGAGGCGGAGGAGGAAGGAGGCGGAGGAGGAGGAGGAGGAGGAGGAGGAGAAGGAGGAGGAGGAGGAGAGGGAGGGCGAGGGGGAGGAGGAGTGGGAGGGGGAGGAGGAGGAATAAATGGGGTGGGGGCGCAATATAAGCACAGGACACGCAAGCTGGGCATCACGAGGCAAGAGAAGCACAGGTGTGAACACGTGGAAGTCATAGAGAAGAAGATAAGCACAAAGAGAATATATATATATACACTGAAAACAGGAGGCACGATAATAATTGAGGCATGCTCTCCCTGTTGATATCTTCCTCCTCCGCAACCTCCGCGTCTTCCTCCTTCACCACCGCCTCCATTCACCTGTCTTTCAGGACCGCAGGCGCAAGTGCTACACCATCGCTCATCGCTCTCCCCCTCCTCTTTTTCCATCTGCTCCCTCGCAGCCGCTGCATCCGCCTCCATCAGCTCCGCCGCCACCTCCACCTCCGCCTCTACCTCCACCTCCACCTTGGGAACAAGCGGCGGCGACGGTAATGCGCCATTGCGCAAATGCGCCAGTGCGCCATTCCACGGCAACCACGCCATTGCGCAAATGCCGTCGCCGCCGCTTGTTCCTCCCTCCGTCCTCCTCATCGGCCTCCCCATACCCCCAACGTCGTGATTTAGTCATGACGTGGGCCCCCAGAGGTCTGGACCCCTCCGCAGGAATTGGTGTTTCATCCTGCGCAGTTTTTTGACGGTCCCGAGGCCCCCAGGAGGCCGAGAGCAGCGAAAACCCCTCCGCTGCGACTCCTTCACGACGCGAGGGGGCATGGGCCCTCCTCCTGCGACGACTGCGGTCAAGGCGCGGACCCAGTATGGAGCAGCGGGGGTGGCGGGGGCGCACCGCTGTCCTCGGGGTGCTGCACTTCCTCTGCGTTAGGGGGGGGGGGGGGGGGGGGGGGCAGATCTGCAGCGATCGCCCGCGCGCTCTTCCTCGCCCTTGTCGTCGTCCTCCCCTCCCATCGGGGGCGTCCGAGAGGGGGGCGTCCAAAAGGGGGGGCTTCGCAAATCATGGCCGGAAGCATGTGCACGGCCCAGGGGGGACGGGGTCGGGGGGCGCATTGAACCGCGACGAGGGGGCACGAAATCCAGGGAGGTCTCATGGCCCCAGCCAGGATGTCCACCCCCCCGGCCCCTCGAGTCAGCACCCCCTCCTGGCGGCCCCCCGAGTCATCCTCCCCTCCTGCCCCCTGCTCTCGGGGACGCCGGGGAGGAGGTCTGTGCGCGGCCCCGCTCTCGGCTTGCTTCCCCCTCCTCCACCTCCTCCTCCTCCTCCTCCTCCTCCTCCTCCTCCTCCTCCTCCTCCTCCTCTCGCGCGTCCTCAATCCACTCCTCCCTCTCCCTCGCGACCCTCCTTGGAGAGGAGTCGGTCTCTGCGGCCACCGATTTCGTTTGTTCATGGGCCGCCTGGCTCGAGACCCGTCCACAACAACTCCCCCTCCCTCATCTCCGCCCTCCCATTCCGCCCTCCCTCGATCCTCTCCCATTGGTTTCCCCCTCGTCTGCTGTGCAGAGTTGAAGTCGACGTTGAGTTCGTATGGCCAGCTTCGACGAGTTCTCTATAGTTAGTCGAATTCGCTGTCATCGCCGTGCCCAACGTCTAAGGAATCACCTTCCTTGCCCCGCACCCTTTCCCTCACTCACCTGCTTTCCTTTCCCTCCCCCTCCTTCCCTCCTTCCCTTCTTCCCTCTTTCTTGCCTCGTTGCCGCCTTCCTCCCTTCCTCCCTTCCTCCCTTCCGCCCTTCTCTCCTTCCATCCCACTTTCCGCATCCCGCCCGATCCCTCGCTGCTCCCTCGCCTCCCAACCTCCCTTATGCTGTCCTTCCTCTCCCTGAAGTACTTCGTCCCTCGTCTTCCTCCATCATTCCCTTCTTTCCTTCTGCTGTCCCTTTGTTTTCCTCCTTTCTCCCATTCTTCCTTTCCTTCCTCATTCGTTTCCTTTCCTCCTCCTCCACTTCCTCCTCCTCCTCCTTTCCTTTCTGGATGCAGGAAGGAAGGCGAGGAAGGGAGGGGGAACGGACGGCGGAAAGGGTGGGGTCGGGGTTGGGGAAACAGACAGGATCGAGGCGCGAGGGAAGGCACCTGGAGCGGATAGGAAACAGAGACATAGGGAGGGGCCGTGGTGCTGGTCTTCTTGCCATCTGGAGGACGTCTCGGGGCAGTCCATGGCTGCTCTTGAGGCCGCCATGGGCCGTCTTGAATGGGTGACGGGCCGTCTTTGGGGCTCTCGGGAGAGAGGAGGGAGAAGAATTCGGGGGGGGGGATACCCCCCACGCCTCCTCCCGCCATCCCTTCGGGCCCTCGCGGAGTCCAGTGGTCGCTCGCAGCCCCCGCAAGGCCGTGCGCCCAAGGATGAGGGACAATGAGAAGTGGGGGCAACAGGCAGAAGGGTGTACGACCACACAAGTCGGCACGGCACCTTTCTCTTTGGAGCTGCTAAATTTCTGCCGCCTGGGGGGAGAAGAAGGGAAGGAAGTGGAGGGAAGAGAAAGAATAGGAGGAGCAGAAGAAGGAGAACGAGGAGGAGGGGGAGGAGGAGGAGGAGGATGATGAGGAGGAGGAGGAGACGGACACCACCATCACGTCAGAGCGCGCCAAGACAGACACGGGGAACATTGAAACGATTGGAACAGAGCGAGCGCGCACAACACGACGATTAAATGGAAGAAAATGTAAATCACAAGCAAAGGCCGAGCGAATCACCGAAGACGCAGCCAAAAGCAGGCGTCGTCAGAGGAAAGGGGAGGGCGAGGCTCGCCCTCCCACTCCACCGAGATGGGATCCTGACCTGCCTCGAGAAATCGATTACAAGTAGTGTCCTTAAAGGATGCAAGACCCGAGCAGACCCCTCAGAGCTGAGATCGATGGGCCGACGGCTACGCCCTGGCGCCGACGGCAGAATGCAAGGGTAGCTCCAGCACGGACGATCTGGTGCCTCCGCGCGCTACAATCGGGAGAACGTAAGACACGGGGGACTCGGGTTGGCCTGTCGGGGCCATCATAAAAATGACGAGGCCCAATCTGAAATTTGACGCGAGCTCCCGCTGCAAACATCCCACGAACACTGGACCGTTAAAATCCAGGACGCGCTCGTCAAAAAACGTCGGCAAACCCGAGCTCCGGCATATTCGAGCCTTACGTTTCCCCGATACTCGGGCACACAGGGCCCTGAGACGGCACCCCCCGGCAACCCAGCAAACCCCCTGCCGCGAGCCTCCGGTGGCCCTGCCCCTCTTGGGGGGAGGAGCCCCACTTGGACTCCCGGGCCTTCTGGACGGCCTGGGCTCGGCGGCGGCGGGGCAGGTGCCGCAGCGCCTGCGGGCGCGGGCCTCCAAGGGCCTCGTCGTCGGCGCCCTCCCTGCCATCCCTCGTCGTTCCTGGCGGTTCGCGCGCTGCTGTGGCGAGGTCGAGGTCGCGCTGCTCGGCCTCCGAGCTAAGCCTCACCCGTACAAGCGCCAGGAACCGCCCAGGGCCCAAAGCAGCCGAGGACGGCGACCCTTCGGGCTCAGATTGAGCCCCGCGGGGCACTGGGTCCAGGGAAGCGACCTCGAAGGGGCCCTCGGTGCCCGACGGGGAAGGGGTCAAGGCGCCGGGAGGCGGCACAGTCAGCGCCGAAGACGGGACGGCACGGTCTCGGGCGAAAACCCGTCGAGTCCGCACAGGGCCGCCGCTTCAGCAACTCTACGCGTGCTGAGTTCGAGGGCCCTCACACCTCGAGACGGCAATGCAACAACGGGGCAGCGATCACACATCTATTTTTTGGCATCGGCGCCGTACCAGGTGTGGGTGCTCAAGCGCCGCTCGGGTCGGCGGCGGCGGGGCAGCCACACTGCTGGGTCCAGCTGCGGCGCATCGCCTCTAGCTTCTTCCTCCTCCTCCTCCTCGACCCTGTCCGGGTCGAAAGTGCGGTCGACCGTAAGTTTCGAAGCGTTACCGATCCAGAGTCCGACCTGTCGGGCTCAAGCCAGCACCTCCGAATGACGATGAATGATGGCTGCAGGAAGGTCATGGAGCCTCCGTCCTGCCTTGGCCGCGCCATCTGCCAGGTCGTTTCAGCGCCTCTCCCACGTGTCTTTCTTTTGGTGGCTCTTGACGGAGGTAAAGCTGAACGGCGGCGGCTCGCCGTCCAACAAGGAGGTCATGCTGCCATGCTCGTCGATGTCGTGCCAGAGGCGTTTCCAGATGTCGGCGTTGTCTTGGCGAGAGCATGTGCACCAGCGGCGTCGTCTCGCCAAGTCCTCGACAAAAGGGAAGTAGTCGGTGTGCATGTGCAAGGGGGGCCACCGACGACGGGCACCTGCAGGACGGCGTGCGTCTCGGCGCGTGCCGAGGTCGGGCGAGGCCCATGGAGAGGACCATACGTGGAGCCGCAGCGGTGCCTGTTGGCGACGACAATGAAGACCCAGTCCGCGCGCGCGGCGATGTCCCAATGCTGGAGCGTTTTGCTGGAGCCGTTCGTGCAAATCGACCCCGTGACGAGTAAGAGCTGCAATGGGGCACCTCTGTCGTAATGCCAAGTCCCCGAATCGTCTCGCGGCGAACAAAGGGAGAAGGGGCGGAGGAGGAGGAGGAGGAGGAGGAACAGCAGCGGCAGCAGCAGAGAGCAGAGCAGCACCAATGATCTGATGAACCCAAACTCAACTCCTCGAGACTGCAGCACCCTGCAGGCCCCCGAGGAAAACAAAAAACTGAGCAGGCGTTCGAAACCGCTTTCAGGGCCCGATAGTCTCTGGGGCCCTGCAGGGGGATACCTCTAGCAAATCGAAAGAACCTACCCCAGCACAACTCCAATTAGGACTCACGGCGCGGGGCCGCCCAGACGTCCGAGGGCCGCCAAGACCCAACGACTCGGCCCTCCCCCCAGAAAGCTCCCCGCACGGCGCAGCTGCCGAGGGGCCACAGAAAGCGCTCGCAAACGCTCGCCGTCGAGGAAAGCCAAAATTTTGGGAGACCTAAAAAGACGCCGACCTCCAGGGCACCATCTGAATACTCAAGGATCGGAGCGGGGGTTCAAGCCTGGAGGGCGAGATGGGGTCCATCAGGCAGGTTGCCCTGGAGGCCAAGCTCAGCGGCACGGCGAGAGCCGTTGATATCTACCAAACGGGCCCGCACAGAAGGCCAACTCATGCCTCGTCCTCGTCCTCGGCGGGCTTGTCCTTGAGGCCTAGCTTCAGCGCGAGCTTGGCCACCTCCCTTTCCAGGCCCAAACGCTGGGGCGACCCTGGCTGGTAAGTGACCTGCTGCGCCTTCTCCTTGGTGCCCGCCGCCAGTAGTGTCATCTGGATGGCCTCCACCAGGGCGCGCTGGCTGCCCTCCCACTTGTTGGCCTGCTTCTGTAGTTTGAAGCGGTCGGACTTCGTCGCCTTTTTTTTGATCGCGCCAGCCACTCTTGATCCGAAAGCGGTGGCAACGCACAGCCAACTGGTCGAGCACCGTCGGAACCATCATCACCTTCTTCTTCCAATAATGCTGAAACAGCTCCCGAACCGCCTGAGGCGTCGTCGCTGCGCCATCCGTGCAAGCCCACTTGATAGACAATTTGAACTCACGTGGCCAAAAATGGCCGCGCTTGTGATCCATTCCGTCCGCCTTGCGGCTCTCCGCGCGGGCGCGCCCCGCCTCCTGTGGTGCCGTCGCCAAGGGCGCGCCCGCGCCGGCCATGTAGCACGCGAAGCAAGCGCCAGTCAGCCACCTCTGCCCATAGCTCCAGAACAAGAACAAGCTTAGGCTTCTCGAACCTCTAAACTACTGTTTCCGATGCTGTTGAAATTATCCAATTCTCGTGCGTCGGTGAGAGCGAGCTTCGTGGGTGCCAGCAGCAGAGCTGCCAGCTCGCCGCCCTTGCCGCCCTTCTGGTTGGCCTTCGCC